AAATAATTTTGTGAATATCTTCGAAATGAGGAGGTCTAGGAGAGGATGTAGGGGAGGTTGGGGTAAAACGGACACTTTTGACTTTTTTTAAAATCCTAATGAGGGGTTGAAATGTTGACAAAATTCAATAATTATTTTTTAATACAAAGAACGATTCTTTGCGACGAATCCCTTTGCGACGAGCCCAAACTGAGCTCAATTGATAAATTTGTTTCTGAATTATGAACAATTAAAAAAAAGTCGAAAGTTGTTCATTTTACCCCACCCTCCCCTACACCTATTAAAATAATAAAAAAATCCCCCCCAGCCCTGACGAACAAAACCAAAAGTGAACTCTGGGTTCATGGAAATTTCGTTATAGAAAAATGACTGATATTAACAATTGACAAAAATAAAAAAATTGAATTCACAAAAAAATCCCAAAAATTTATGGAATAATTTTGTGAATATCTTCGAAATGAGGAGGTCTAGGAGAGGATGTAGGAGAGGTTGGGGTAAAACGGACACTTTTGACTTTTTTTAAAATCTTAATGAGGGGTTGAAATGTTGATAAAATTCAATAATTTTTTTTTTAATACAAAGAACGATTCTTTGCGACGAGCCCAAACGGAGCTCAATTGATAAATTTGTTTCTGAATTATGAACAATTAAAAAAAAGTCGAAAGTTGTTCATTTTACCCCACCCTCCCCTACACCTATTAAAATAATAAAAAAATCCCCCCCAGCCCTGACGAACCAAACCAAAAGTGAACTCTGGGTTCATGGAAATTTCTTTATAGAAAAACGACTGACATTAACAATTGACAACAATAAAAAAATTGAATTCACAAAAAATCCCAAAAATTTATGAAATAATTTTGTGAATATCTTCGAAATGAGGAGGTCTAGGAGAGGATGTAGGGGAGGTTGGGGTAAAACGGACACTTTTGACTTTTTTTAAAATCCTAATGAGGGGTTGAAATGTTGACAAAATTCAATAATTATTTTTTAATACAAAGAACGATTCTTTGCGACGAATCCCTTTGCGACGAGCCCAAACTGAGCTCAACTGATAAATTTGTTTCTGAATTATGAACAATTAAAAAAAAGTCTAAAGTTGTTCATTTTACCCCACCCTCCCCTACACCTATTAAAATAATAAAAAAATCCCCCCCAGCCCTGACGAACCAAACCAAAAGTGAACTCTGGTTTTATGGAAATTTCTTTATAGAAAAACGAAATCTTTATAAAAAACGACTGACATTAACAATTGACAAAAATGAAAAAATTGAATTCACAAAAAAATCCCAAAAATTTATGAAATAATGTTTGGGATTTTTTCCCCCCCCTACACCTATTGAAATAATAAAAAAATCCCCCCCTGACGAACCAAACCAAAAGTGAACCCTGGGTTCACGGAAATTTCCCCGAGTTCCTCCTCTCTCTTTCCCGTTTTTTTTCCATAAACCCAGAGTTGGCCCCGAGTTAACTCTGGGCTTGACCTATCGTATTGAGTACCCACCGTCGCGTTGTCTTCGGCCCTCTGAGCAACCACATCCGGATCCTGGAAGAAAATGTACCTCCTCTTGTCCCCGGGACAGTCCTCACTCCTCCGATCACTCATTCCCCATGAGTCTCACTCGACAATCACTCCCCACCGAGTCAATACCCCCAATACCCCTCAATCTAATCTCCCCCCATCAGTATCACCACCAGTATCACCTGATCCACCAAATTACTCAGATAACCATCACCTCGAGCGATCCTCCATGCCTGGAACGCGTCGCTCGGGTCAAAGTACAAATGCGAGACAATTCCACTGAAAAAAACCCCTGCCCGAAGCCCTGAAAATGCCGTCGAAGTCCTGAATGCACTGAACCCCAACTGAATCCAGAAGCACAGAATCACTAGCACATTTTTTCCCACTCGAGACCCGACACTCGTGCACTTGTTCCACTGCCGCGACTCAATCAAACACTGATCAATCCTCTGGGCGATTCAGGGAGAACAATCCTGGGGAGTGGATCCACTGGGGTTTTGAAGCCATTCTGGAGCCTCTCGACGCGGGGAGACGTAACTGTCAGTTGTCCAAGGTTACTGCGGCGTACGTGGAGGTTATAGCGGGCATTCGTCGCTTTGGTTAGGGCGCCGAGGTTACGTTGAAGTGCGTTGAAGACCGTTGGTGACCGTTGGGAGAGGGAGGGAGAGGCTCTCGCGGGAGAAAGAGGACTCCTGATTTTTTGCCCTTGGATTTTTGACTTTGCGAAGGGGTTGGCGAGACGTCTGCACGCGCGGGTGGTGCTGAGGGGCTTGATGAGGTGTCTGTGGGTGAATCGAGAGATTTCGGTGGCAATCAGAGGTGCGATCGGACGTCGTAACGTTTTTTAGAGCCACGCTGCGGTGATAAGCGTCGTAAAGGTGGGTTCGCATTGAAATTTTTGTTTTTGTTGATGCTGAGGGGGTCAGAAGTTGATGATGAGGTTGATGCTGAGGGTCAGAAGGGGTTGAGTGGGCTCACGTCAAGGGTTTTTTCAACAACTATTTTTCCCGAATGACTTTTACCGATAGGGGAGGGTGGGGTAAAATGGACACTTTAGACTTTTTTTAAATTATTCATAACTCAGAAACAAATTGATCAATTGAGCTCAGTTTAGGCTCGTCACAAAGGAAAAGAATTGTTCTTTGTATTGAAAAAAAAATTATTGAATTTTATCAACATTTCAACCCCTCATTAACATTTGAAAAAAAGTCAAGTGTCCATTTTACCCCAATCTCCCCTAAATATTTAATATTTATTGCTCATTTAAATATTTATATGCGTAATATGAGATCTATCAACCACTTTTTTGGAAAGTAATCGGACGATAACGGCCACATACCCTTGTTCTCATTAATTCTCATAATTTTCTCAAACTCCAAACTCTACCTACCAGCCAAACGGAATTTAACGGGCAAAGACAGAAACATCATTAACGCCGATTGATTTTTTATCACCCAATCGGAAATAATCGGACTGTTTTACCGGGGAAAGATCCTGAGATCCTAGTCCTCTGCTAGGCCCATGCGTCAAAAGAAAAAAATTTATATATCTCTAAGTGTTTTTTATACAAGTTTATTTCGATTATAAGTTCAAGAAATGTATATTGGTTGAATAAAAGTAAATTTTGTCACAAAAAAAAGGGTTGAGTGGGTTTGGAGTGGACTCTGTTTGTGGGGAATTTGATTGAACTGAAGTTAATTTGAGGTTTATTTTCCAGAAAATGCCAGAACCGTCGGGAGAACCGAGAATAACATCAAAGAAATCCATAGTAAGGGGTCCATGACTAGTAAACAGAAAGCCATTTGAACACACAACAATTCATCGCACAGACAACTGAACACAAATAAGTTAATCATTGGGTATTTGAACACAGTCGTCTGCGTCGCAGTTTATTTAACAGTAGAAAATTCGATAAACTTGATAACTCACATCTAATTATCATCATCACAACCCTCCTAAGCTGTAGGGGAGGTTGCGGTAAAACGGACACTTGACTTTTTTTTAAATCAGTAGCGAACTGGTAAAACGGTATAAGTCAATTTTGACTATTAAACAGTTTTCAGTGAATATCTCGGAATCTAAGGGAGATAGCGAAATTTTTGTTATAACCTTTTTTGTAGAGCCGATTGAGTGCTACAACAAATGTAATTACGAAAATTTCGCTATCTCCCTTAGATTCGGAAATATTCCTCAAATTTCCTCAAACAAGTTTTTTTTGCTGAATGAACCTTTTTAAAGGTTTAGAAGCTATAATAAAAATTTTAAAAAGTAGACTTAAATCGTTTTACCACTTCGCTGCTGAATTTATTTGTGATCAGTCGACTGAGTGATGAATTCTCGTGTTGAGCTCAAATTACTGTGGCAATTAGTAAATATTTTACGAAAATTAGTATTAAGTCTTCTCCTCGATCTTCCCTCAATTATTTTTGGAACATACATCAGTAGCGAAGTGGTAAAACGGTTCAAGTCGATTTGACTATTGGCCAGTTTTCAATGAATATCTCGGAATCCAAGGGAGATGGCAAAATTTTGGTCAAAATCTTTTTTGTAGCACTCAATTTGCTCTACAGAAAAGGTTATTACGAAAATTTCATTATCTCCTTTAGATGCGGAGATATTCTTCAAAAGCTCACCTAAGAGATGAGTCGACAAACCGTTTTACCACTTCGCTACTGATACGTTAATCATGATTAATTAATGCATCAATTAACCGTTGGCCCTGCGATTATTCAAGTGCTGGGTCTTTCCACATACAAATTAAGTAATCAATTGCAGCTGAAGGCCTATCGCCTCTTGCGATCCCTGCAGCCGGCGAAGGCCGGAGAGCCGGCGAAAAAAGTCCTGAAACCGAGGAGAAGAAAGAGTGACGGCAAAGCTCAACGAGTCCTCAAGACCCTAGTCCCGAACTACCCCCCGAATATCAAGAGGTTCCCCTGGCACGACATCTTCATGATGCAGGAGATTCGCAGTGCCATGGGGAAGCAGGACTGGATCGCCCTGCAGAGGCTTTTCCCTCACTGTGGGACAGACGCCCTCGCCTTCCAGCCGATGAGGTTCACTTACGCATTTCTCTTGAGTCTCTGCAGCCACATCAGCAATGAGAACCACTTCAAGTCCTTCCTGGAGACGTGCATCAGTCACGACGTCGTCGAGAGTGGAGTCTTGGAGAGGCTGATGACGCTGCAGAGGACGTACCATCGACAGACGAAACCTGCTGAGAGGGACTGAGGGCTGAGGTGAGGAGCCAGCGATCGAGGTCCTCGTGGTGATTAATGTTCTGTACATAATTCAGTAGCGAAGTGGTAAAAGCGTTTCAGTCGACTTATCCCCCAGTTGAGTTTTTGAGGAATATTTCCGAATCTAAGGGAGATAGCGAAATTTTGGTAATGACATTTGTTGTAGCTCTCAATTGACTCTACAAAAAAGTTTCCGATAAAAATTTTGCTATCTCCATTAGATTCAGAGATATTCGCTGAAAACTGGCCAATAGTCAAAATTGACTTAAACCCTTTTACCACTTCGCTACTAAATTGTATTTTCATTCTACTAGATTAGTCCGCGCGCGTATTTCGTTCGCCATGGGGCTTAATGTATATCAATTGTAGTGAATAATTTTATGTTAGATTTCTAAAGTTAATATCAAAGTTTCCGAAGGAAAAGTTTCAGGAATGTATTCTATTTTTTTTATGTATAATACATCCAGTGTGACTTTTTTTTAAGCCAATCTATTCGGCTTATTGTGACATTAGATTTTTAGAAATGATGATAGTATACATTAAGGGGAGACGGAACCCCTTTCTCTACATCAAATCTTAGAATTGTGTTTTCTCCTACAATTATTAATTTCTATCTATGAAATTACTTTATCGACTTGATTATCGCATTGTTGGGTCAATGAAGTAGTTTAATGAATAAAAAATAATAATTGCAGGAGAAAACAATTCTAAAGATTCATAAAAACGCAGGGGTTCCGTTTCCCCTTACAGAACTTACGGTAATACTATAGTATATTATATATACTATGTATAATATACAATATATAATAGGGTACTACATGTATTATTAAATATAATGTGCATAATAAAAAAAATGAAACAATGAACTGATAATAATAATATGCTAATGTATTATAACATAGTATAGTATAAAATATAATAAAGTATTCTCGTAATATCTTTAATGTATACTATCATCAATTATGAACAATATAATGAATAGATTGGCTTCAAAAAACGTTACACTGCATTTTTTATTAAAGGATCATTCTATCGTACATTATCTCTCATTAATTACGTTCAGTCGATAGTTATCTCTCAGTAAACAATTTATTTATCAATACAAATGTGATATTTACAAGTTTCTTCATGTCTACCTCGAATTAAAGTATCTCTGGAGGAGAGAAATTAATTTACATGGGGAATTAGCGAAACCGGGGAACTACTGGGTAACGTGAACTACAGTGAATCCGATTTAGAGGTGGTCTACTTCGTTGAGAGGATTAAATGGCACCTGTACACGAAGATTATGATTGTAATGAGGGGATTAATGGGGTGGGGATTCAGATGACTGAAGTTAAACAAGTACATTGAGAGGAGAATATTTGGCAGAATGAAAACGTGAGGCAGTTAATTCCAGCTGAATGTCATCGTCAGCCTCGGCAATTCGTCAATGATTATTTGGAATTCATGTGGAGTGATTTGTTCGTTATTCACCTGCACCAACTCTTCTCTCAATCTCCAAAAAAAAAAACAATAATTAGTTGATTTGTCTCTAGCTTAACGATGAATAAACTAAAATGATAGGGGTCGAATGAGCCTAAACCTAGTAACGAATTCAATGAATTAACAATAAATACTCGTGAATATTTTCAATTCTTCATATCGTTAATAATCTCTGGTCAGTCGAGGGGTAAGTGCACTCGTGTGTCGTTGGCTGCCAACTTTATCAGTGTCTTTTTGACACGCAGAATTGGCAGTCTTGCTGCTGGCTTGCCATGCCAGCACTCGCGCATCAGTTTTCCCATGCCTGTTAGGGTGGGGTCTGAGTGCCAGCGGTTTGGGAGGGGCGGCCTCCGCTGGTCCAGGGACACCAGCTTACGCATTTCCTCGATTGATGGCTCTTGGGTGGTGCTCGACAGCCATTCGGAGTACGGCGCTGCGTAGTCCAGGGCTACGCCGTTGCTCACGCAACGCCTGCAGACTTCCCACATTATCAGCCCCAGGCAGTAGATGTCCACGCATCTGAAGCCCTCGAGACATTCTGGGTTCAATCTGGGGGAGAATTCAAAATTTTTTACTTTGGAGAGTTCACTAATTCAGAAATTAGCGGTTATCGCGGTTGCGAGGGGTTGGAGGCGAAAATCTCACAGGAGTTTTCTGTTGGAAATTTCATTCTCTACAAAACATTTCTTATGATTTTTTTTGATAAATCCACTTGTTTTGGAGATATTTGCAAAAAACTGAAGACGAATTTTTTCCGTATCAATTTTAAATTCTGAATTTTTTAATTGAATTCGTTAATTATCTTCATAACGAGTTGTCCTACGAGAAAATGTCATAAGAAACTTTTTGTGGGAAATTGAATTAACTTCAAAAAATGTCTCATAAAATTTTTGGTTACACCCAATCGTTATCGAGATATTTCCAAAAAACCATACAAATTTTTCCATTCACATTTTCTCATTCAAAAAATTTGATTACTTAATTTAAGTTAACGAATATTTCGATACTCACGTATTTTCTAATATCTCCGGACACATGTACCGCCTCGTCCCCTGCCTCAAATCCACTCGATCATTGATCAATCGTTCCTGAGTGACAGCAAGTGCGAAATTGGAGATGACGCAGCTGCCATTCGTCTTGACAAGAATAGTCTTGGATTTGAGATTCCTGTGGGCCATCGCAGGCTTCCCCTTGGTTCCGTGGATCTCAGTGTGAAGGTACAGAAGCCCATTGGCGATGCCCAGGCAGATGTTGAGGGTCTGGTGAGGGGTCAGGGGCTGGGGGGATCGATTCAGATGATCGTAAAGGGAGCCCAGGGGGTGGTAGTGCGTCACCAGCCAGAGCTGGGTGCAGCTGGCACGACTCGTCATGTCACTACCCACGTACCCCAGGATGTTGTCATGCCTCGAGGGCAACAGTTGAGAGTAGACCTCGGTCTCACGTGCCCAGGCTGCCTCGTCACGAGAGAAATAAATCTTCACTGCCACTGACTCCCCGTGCCAGACTCCTCGCCATACCTCTCCACCGAATCCTCCACCTCCACCAGAACCCAGGCACTCCACTAAGGCCACTTGTTTAGCTAGGGTTCGTTGCACCAGGAGGGGCAGACCTGAACCTGAACCACTCGTCAAACTCCTGCCATCGAGGTATTCCTGAAAATTGAGATTTTGGGTTTTTGCGCATTTCGATTTTATTCTCTGGTGATCTAATGACGCGACTGGGACGAATCAGGGCTCATTTTGAGGGGTGAAAAAATACCTTTGAAATGAAAAAAAAAAATTGAATTTCACTCTGCCGATGCGGAGTTATTGATGATTGAAAAATCATCATTTTAGGGTCTCCTCGGATTGAAATTGGGGAAAGAGTCACGTTTTTTGGGAATATTTCTAGAACTGTTGGATTTAGAGGAAAATGCCTCGGAAACTTTTTGTAGAGCATGAAGCTTCCCACGAAAATGATTTATGACTTTTTTTGATAGAGGCAATAATCGCTGGGATATCGCAAGTTTTCTTACGATAAAAAAGTGAAAGAATTTTTTTTCCAATTTCTTTTAGGTTAATTTGGGATTGTGATTTGGGAAATAATTTGGACTTACTCTGAGGGTGCTATCACCAGCAGCAGTGGCCCTCAGCTCATTTGGATGATAATTTGACGATGAATTTTGAGAGGCTGAGGGGAAATGCAGCATCGAGGGCTCCATTTCAGAGTCAACTAGTAGTTTATTGCGTTTCGGTAATGGACGTTTTCTCCGGGTTCTCCTGGCTAGGAGGCAGAATAATACACCTCCAGCCACTGCTCCCAGACCCACTATGGGTCCGAGGATGGCGAGGGTGAGTTTGGCAGCGTAATCTTCCTTGTCAGGATCTAAAAACATCAATCACCACGATGAACATCACGAAATTCAGCTTTCAATTCATAAAATCATTCCTTCAATTTGTTTTTGATGAATGTCTCTGCATCCACTCGAGATACCGAAATTTTCGCCATGAACATTTTTCTAGGGAATTTCAAGAACTACAAAAAAGGTCTGGAGAACCATTTCGGTATCTTCAATAAATCCAGAGATATTTGCCAAAAGCTAAAACAAATTTATTCAGCTCTTCCCAAAATTTCTAATTTTTTCAGTTTCAATTTTTGGCGAATATCTCAGAATTTATTGGAGATACAAAAATCTTTGTGAGAACCTTTTTTGTAGGTCTTGAAATTCCCCACAAAAAAGTTCACTACAAAATTCCCCTATCTCCCTCCGATTCCGAGATATTCGCAAAGAACTGAAGAAAAAAAAAGTTCCTCTTCATTCATCAATTGATAATTAATGTTCTAATGAATGAATTACCGAGACGTTCGAGAACTGGAAATGGTCCATCGTTACAGTAATCACTGTAGCAGCACTCGACGTGATAAAGAGCCCCATGGCGACTGCCAGGCGCCAATTTATTGCATATCAATGGAACTTGATCTGGGTCTGTCGTGCAGCCACGTTTCACTCTCTCTGTTCCATCGGACTCCCTAACCCTGGACTTCCAGCACTGTCAACAACAATGAGACCATTAGACCATCTTAATGACTAAGAGTGAGATGACATGAGAAGACTGAAAAAAAAATTATTTTTTCCAACTATCCATTTACTTGAGAGAAGCATTTATTTCTTCAATGCCGTATTTCTCCAGTCGAGTCACTCCGGGGCAATCCTCATTAGGAGTCAATTATGACAATTATATTGCCCCAGAAGATGGGCATGTCAGTTATCTCTTTCAGTGCACTCCCTCGATAATTATCAACATAAAAAAAATGATCGAAATTCTTCCCTCGAGAAAATAAGAAATTTAGGAAAAATGAATAATCATTGGAGGAGTTCATCCAAGGTCAAATGCAACAGTCATCCTCTACACTGAGAGAAAAACAAGCACGTTGTCAAACAAGTCTTGTTTGGGCCAACAAAATCGCTAGTTAAAAATTGCCAAAAAAGAATTTATTCGGTTCGAATTTGAAAGTCTCAAACATGAATAATTGCTCTGCTTTCGACAGCAACGAAATATTTGGCTCAAGAGGCGGATAATTCACACCAGACGGTGCCTTTTCAGGATGAAAATATCTCATACAGAGGAAAATTTATCAACAAATATTTAATCCCTAAGTTACAAGATTGCTATCATATCATTATTATTGTTCATTCAAGGGTTCATTTGTTGTCTGTGATTATTAGACAGCCGAAACAAAAAACTACTAGTCCTTGTTTCGCATAAAACAAAGATTTTTCGGGAGCAAAATACGTATGGGAGTGTCGAATAACGAAGGAGTAGTGCTAGAAATGACATTTCTTCGTGCACAGAAAATGCAATTTTTTTTTAACTACTAAATCTATTTTTGCGACAAAAATTTCTCATTCCGGCGCACTCTGCACGTTTGGCGCAACAAAACTTTTTTGATAATTTTCAAAAAACTATTTTCTAGGCACAAATAAGACTTGTTTGAGAACTTTGTCGTTTTTCTCTCAATGTAGAGCAGCATGATCGTCATAATTAAAACCTATTCAGGCTCACCTGAGCATGACTCAATAGGAAAAATACGATTTTGAAAAAATCAATGCTTCTCTCAAGTAGAAATATTTAAATATTTGGCAAAAATAATTTTTTTCTCAGTGAAGACTTTCGTAATTACCGCAATGGCACTGTGACAGGGTCCCCCGGGGCTCCGGCACTCATCTCCTTCGCACAGGTAGCACGAGTAGGTCCTGCGTCCTATGTTGTTTGTCAGCTTTGTGTCTAGGGACTCTCGAGGCTCCTCGCTGTCCAGACCGTTGGGGTCTTCTAGGAGAGGTGTTCGTTGTCGTTCAGCTGGAAATCGATTGTTCATTGAGGATTTCGTGTTTTGGGGGCTTCATTCATTCGTGCATTCACTAGATGACTTTGCGAATGAGACAATAATATTGGATGGAAGTATTCTCGATCAGAGATAGCCATATGATATGACAAATTATAATTCAGTAGCAAATTGGTAAAATGGTGTAAGTCGACTCACCTCCCAGTTGAGTTTTTGAGGAATATTTCCGAATCTAAGGGAGATACCATAATTTTCGTAATTACATTTGTTGTAGCTCTCGATCGGCTCTACAAAAAAGGTTATAATAAAAATTTTGCTATCTCCCTCAGATTCCGAGATATTCATTGAAAACTGGTCAATACTCAAAATTCACTTGTACCATTTTACCACTTCGCTACTGAGTTACTGTTAAATTATTAAGTAATCAATTACTATCACTGGAGGTTGGGGTAAAACGGACACTTTTGACTTTTTTCAAATGTTAATGAGGGGTTGAAATGCTGATGAAATTCAATAATTTTTTTTTCAATACAAAGAACAATTCTTTCCCTTTGTGACGAGCCTAAACTGAGCTCAATTGATAGATTTGTTTCTGAGTTATGAGTAATTAAAACAGAAGTCCAAAGTGTTCATTTTACCCCACTCTCCCCTAATCATCAATTTAGGCCCGGGTGGATTATCCGTCGAACGTTATCTCGATCGTTTTTCCATCTTCATAATATAAAATATATCCCAAGTTCCACTGGATTTTCCATCACGCAGAAATCCCTAAAAATGATGATTGTACAGTAAAGTAGGAAAAAAATGAACATCTTCAACAAAAAAAAGATGAAGAAATAATTCCGATAGAAATAAAATAGTGAATAGTGAACGGATAATTTTTGTCATTATATTTCACTACACAGTTCCATATATTTAAATTCCCCTCCCCCGCCCTTCGCTATAACCCACTCAACTAATCCAGAGCCTCCGGGTGAAGGTGATCAACACCCTCCCCCCGCCCCCCATCAATTAAACCCCCGAACAAGGCGCTAACCTCCCTCGGCACTGTTAGCCTCCACTCCCATAAAAAAATCCCTCACCTGCACAAAATTTCAATGTCAACAACAGCAGAAAGTGCGTTATAAATACAACATCCGCCATTTCTGCGTTGTCTCGCGTCAAAACAATGGACCACACACTCCCCTCACACCATTATCACGGTTTATCCGGCCCGAGAACCGTCGATTATCTCGCGATAACGCCCCACGTCATCGACATTTCTCCGGTAATTCAAGAAATTTCACTTCATCAATTGAAATTAATTGTCAAAGACTCTTTAGGACTGACGGCGTGGCGTCACGACTCGACTCACAAGAGCACGGATGGGAGTGAGTCCAGTCGGATGAGTCCGGGGCCAATGGGAGGACTTCACCTTTGAAAAAAAAAAACGAAAACGGGAACTGCGAAGGCCGGAGTACGTGGAAACTCGCCTTTACGCAGTGACTCGAAATCAATACACCTTTCTTGGGCTCGCGGTGGACAACAGGATTCTTCGGCTCCATTCTTCAATCCATTGTGCTGTTTCACGGGGATTCTTGGGGTTCTTGGGGATTGCCGAGTGTTGACAGCTGTCTGCAAGGGAGGAAAGGATTTCCGATTGTTTCGGGGGATTTTCGTTGTTTATTTAGGGATTTGGCGGCTCGCGGGAGACGGAGAGCTGTAGGTGAGTGATCGAGATAAGGTTTTTTAGTTGTTTTGTAGTGCTGGAGGTTTGGAGGATGGGGTTTTATTGTTTAATTGGGGATTGGTTGTTGTTGATGGGGTGGTGATGAATGATTCGGAGGATTCTCTATTGTTTGGTATTTCTGTTGTTTTTTGTGGCTTTATTTTCGAATGATTGCGATTGAGATAAGGTTTTTCGGTGTTTTTTCATTGTGAGGGGTTGTTTTGAGGATTTGTCACATTTTTTATAGAGTTGAGGAGGTGTAGGTGAATGATTGAGACGATTTTGGGGGATTTGGGGACTGTTTATGGGTGTTGAGGGGTTTTAATTGTTTAATTTGGGATTGGTTGTTGTTGATGGGGTGGTGGTGAATAATTAAGAGGATTCTTTATTGTTTTTTGTGGCTTTATTTTCGAATGATTCTGATTGAGATAAGGTTTTTCGGTGTTTTTTCATTGTGGCGGGTTGTTTTGAGGATTCGTCACATTTTTTATAGGGTTGAGGGGGTGTAGGTGAATGATTGAGACGATTTTTCTTGTTTATTCGTCATTTTTTAATTTTTTTTTAGTGCTGGGGGTTTGGAGACTGTTTATGGTGTTGAGGGGTTTTAATTGTTTAATTTGTGATTGGTTGTTGATGGGGTGATGGTGAATAATTAAGAGGATTCTTTATTGTTTTTTGTGGCTTTATTTTCGAATGATTGTGATTGAGATAAGATTTTTTGGTGTTTTTTCATTGTGGGGGGTTGTTTTGAGGATTTGTCACATTTTTTATAGGGTTGAGGGGGTGTAGGTGAATGATTGAGACGATTTTTATTGTTTATTGATCATTTTTTATTTTTTTTTAGTGCTGGGGGTTTAGAGACTGTTTATGGGTGTTGAGGGGTTTTAATTGTTCAATTTGGGATTGGTTGTTGTTGATGGGGTGGTGGTGAATAATTAAGAGGATTCTTTATTGTTTGTTTTTTTCTGTTGTTTTTTGTGGCTTTATTTTCGAATGATTGTGATTGAGATAAGGTTTTTCGGTGTTTTTTCATTGTAGAGGGTTGTTTTGAGGATTTGTCACATTTTTTATAGGGTTGAGGGGGTGTAGGTGAATGATTGAGACGATTTTTATTGTTTATTNTGTGGCTTTATTTTCAAATGATTGTGATTGAGATAAGTTTTTTTGGTGTTTTTAATTGTGGGGGGTTGTTTTGAGGATTTGTGACATTTTTTATAGGGTTGAGGGGGTGTAGGTGAATGATTGAGACGATTTTTATTGTTTATTCGTCATTTTTTAATTTTTTTTTAGTGCTGGGGGTTTGGAGACTGTTTATGGTGTTGAGGGGTTTTAATTGTTTAATTTGTGATTGGTTGTTGATGGGGTGATGGTGAATAATTAAGAGGATTCTTTATTGTTTTTTGTGGCTTTATTTTCGAATGATTGTGATTGAGATAAGATTTTTTGGTGTTTTTTCATTGTGGGGGGTTGTTTTGAGGATTTGTCACATTTTTTATAGGGTTGAGGGGGTGTAGGTGAATGATTGAGACGATTTTTATTGTTTATTGATCATTTTTTAATTTTTTTTAGTGCTGGGGGTTTGGAGACTGTTTATGGGTGTTGAGGGATTTTAATTGTTTAATTTGGGATTGGTTGTTGTTGATGGGGTGGTGGTGAATAATTAAGAGGATTCTTTATTGTTTTTTGTGGCTTTATTTTCGAATGATTGTGATTGAGATAAGTTTTTTTGGTGTTTTTAATTGTGGGGGGTTGTTTTGAGGATTTGTGACATTTTTTATAGGGTTGAGGGGGTGTAGGTGAATGATTGAGACGATTTTTATTGTTTATTGATCATTTTTTTATTTTTTTTTAGTGCTGGGGGTTTGGAGACTGTTTATGGGTGTTGAGGGGTTTTAATTGTTTAATTTGGGATTGGTTGTTGTTAATGGGGTGATGGTGAATAATTAAGAGGATTCTTTATTGTTTTTTGTGGCTTTATTTTTGAATGATTGCGATTGAGATAAGATTTTTTTGATATTTTTTCATTGTGGGGGTTTGTTTTGAGGATTTGTCACATTTTTTATAGGGTTGAGGGGGTGTAGGTGAATGATTGAGACGATTTTTATTGTTTATTCGTCATTTTTTAATTTTTTTTAGTGCTGGGGGTTTGGAGACTGTTTATTGGTGGTGAGGGGTTTTAATTGTTTAATTTGGGATCGGTTGTTGTTGATGGGGTGATGGTGAATAATTAAGAGGATTCTTTATTGTTTTTTGTGGCTTTATTTTCAAATGATTGTGATTGAGATAAGGTTTTTCAGTGTTTTTTCATTGTGGGGGGTTGTTTTGAGGATTTGTCACATTTTTTATAGGGTTGAGGAGGTGTAGGTGAATGATTGAGATGATTTTTATTGTTTATTCGTCATTTTTTAATTTTTTTTTAGTGCTGGGGGTTTGGAGACTGTTTATTGGTGGTGAGGGGTTTTAATTGTTTAATTTGGGATCGGTTGTTGTTGATGGGGTGGTGGTGAATGATTAGGAGGATTCTTTATTATTGGTTTTCTTCTGTTGATTTTATAGCTTCATTTTTCGCATTGGAGATCAGTGGTGGCTACTGTTTAGGGGGAATAGAATTTTTATTGTTAAATTATTTTTGAATGATCGTAATTGAGATCAGGTATTGTTGATTTTTATTGTTTATTATTCGTTCAGTTGTCGTTAACTCCGCTCTTGAATCCATTCGGCTGTTTTACAGGGATTCTTTGGGGTTCTTGGGGATTGTGGAGAATTGACAGCTGTCTGTGCAAGGGAGGAAAGGGTTTCCGATTGTTTCAGGGGTTTTCGTTGTTTATTTCGGGATTTGGCGGCTCGCGGGAGGCGGAGAGCTGTAGGTGAGTGATCGAGATAAGGTTTTTTAGTTTTTTTATTGATGGGGGTTTCGAGACTGTTCATGCGTGATGGGGGGCTTTTGTCGTTCAATTAGGGATTAGTTATTATTGATGGGATTTTTTGATTTTTTTAACGAAGTACTTGGATGAAAGGTGCAGGCTCATTCATTCAAGAGGCGAATACAAGATAATTTTCGATCGTCAATAATTCAACGTCCGCAGAGTGACATTGAACGACTTTCTCATTTTGAAGATATTATTTCAGGCTTCAAAATGAAATTTGACTCATTCAAATTGCATCGTTCAGTCCAGAGATATTAATGATTAAAGAAGGTTCATTTTTCAAAATCATTTCATTTTCTCAATTTTTGATGTTTTTTATTTTTAAAAATTTATTATTGTATGAGGAAGACGAGGCGATTGTTCTTGTGTATAAAAGACCATTTTATCATCGTCCAGGTGTCCGTGCACATTCAACCAACCCCAGACCCTTTGTTCAGATGTCCAGAAATTTTTTGTAAGAGTTTTTTCATTTTTATTTATTCATTGATTTAATTGATTTCTGGGAGTTTTCAATTTTGAAAAACGCGAGGGCCTTTTTCTGCTGGTCTTCAGAATTGTTTTTTCAATTTTATTTCAGTGACATCACCGGCATGGCGTCGAGCTCCGTCAGTCAAGAGGACTTTGACAATGATTTTGAGTTCACAACGAGAAGGTCCAGGATCAGGACAGCGAGGACGAGGGTGGGACCCCAGAGGGCTGGAGACATCACCACCATAAATTTTCAAAGTTCGTGGAGTTGATTTATACGTTCATTCGTCCGAATAAAGAAATTTGGGGATAATTTTTTTATTTACCTTCAGAGAATCCAGCGGATACTGATGATCCTCCCATCTGCGAGTCGAGCTCCAACAATGTGCTACCTCTAGAGCATGATAATCAACAGAATAAACCAATAATGAGGAAACCCGAGAAAAGAGTCACTGGTCGGTGCGTAGAAAATTTAAGAAAGTCGTAAAACTAAATAAGTCCAATGCAATCGTTTCTCATTTCAGTGTTTGCTGAATATCTCAGGATCTATTTGAGATAGCAAAATTATTGTCGGAACTTTTTTGTAGCTCTTGAAATTCTCCGCAAAAAATGTCTGTATGGAAATTGCGCTATCTCCACAGGATGCTGAGATATTCGACGAAGACTGTTGACTAAACTTGAAAAGTCATCATCAACCTGGTTTCCCATCCCCAAAAAAATGCTTTCGTGTCTTATTCTCAGTGTCATATCCTGTTTGCACAGGCCCACACACATTAACAAGGGAAAACAGCAGAGGGACCGCCGGAAACTCAGAGAGAAACGACGCAGCACTGGAGTCGTGCACCTTCCATCGACCGAGGTATGACAAAATTTAAAAAATAATTAAATAAGCATGAAAAATCCCTTGGAGTACCCCACAATGATTGAAATGCACGATTGAATCCTATGTTTGGCTCTGCAATCAATCTAACGTTAGAAATTTGTTGATGAACTGTTCATTCTAACAAAATTCTATTAATTATTTGGATATCGTAGAGTACAGGAGGTAGTACTGGTGAAGATGAGGAGGAACTCGGTGGATGCCTCGAAACAAAGCACAATACCCACCATAATGAGTTTCTAGACCATGAACTCATGGAAGTAAGTTCTTTTTTTTTCTTTTTATTTGGTCATCTGTATTGTCCATTCCTCCCATTCTTTTCTGTAGATTCACAGGGTTGCAGGGTCAAGTGTAGACGACATTTTCATCAGAAAAAGGTCGAGTGAACGATCTATTTGTGTTTAATGTTGAGGTTTTTTTTCATTGATTTTTTTCATTCGTTCATCAGTTGTTGGTGATTTTGTGGTTGAGGGATTTTAATTTTCATGGGCCTTCGGTCTGTTGCAGGAGAGAAATGCCAAGGTTTACACACAGAGGAGGAATAAAAGGTGATTATTCAGAGAAGAAAACATTTTGTAAAAATTTCTTTTTTACGCTTGACAAAATGCGTTTGACAATTTCGTGAATATCTTCTAAATGGAGAGGTTTAGGAGGAAATGTGCCAAGACATTTTTTGTAGAGAATTAAATTTCCGACAAAAAAGTCATTTCACATTTTCCTGTAAAGCCACCTCTTCCCTCGATTAATTCGAGCATAAAATTATTTTCTCTTTTCAAATTTCAGTCATTCAGATTTGGAAGCTGACGACGAGGAGTTCGACTCCTTGAACCAATCAGACAGTATCAATCAGTCGGATGGTGCTCACCCAACGCAATTGGACACAGCAACAAGGCCACGTGTGCCAACACCAACTGGAGACAACACTCAAGAGGTACCTTCCCCCAAAATAATTAATTCTAATAATAAAAATGATGTTGTCGTCTCCCTCCAGTTATTCGAACGAGCTCAGGAGGAAAATCGAAGGCTCCTGGCCCTCCTGGAGGACCAGGACCACAAGATAATGGCCCTGGAGGCCCAAATCCTCCAGCAGCAACGAGAGATGGCAATTGAGCGCGAAAGGTTACGCGAAGAGAACGCTGCCCTCATCAGGGCTATGGCAGCACTCGCAAGTAATTAATCATCCAACAATTCCCCACAATTTTTCTTCGAAAACCTAATTAACATCCACGAAATAAATTCAAATTGCTTATCGATGTTTGAGGGTGAGATCTTGGGTAATTGCAGAGTTTAATTCTTCGTCAGATTTATTTTTTTATCTAAATAACATAGGATTAATTGAAATTTGTGTTTCTTGGTTGAATTATGCGAATTCGTTTGCATAAAATTAGAAATATTCGGGACATTTACGTTTGCGACGATGAATTATCATATTCGAGACTGATTTGTGCAGAAATTTACCATTTTTCGCTCCAATTTAATCGAGAAAGCATTCAGATGACTCAATTCAGAGAGAGAAAGTGTGATACTTTGGACCTAATTCTCGAGTAATAGATGTTGGAAATTATTCTGATGTAAATACATTGTGAATCTAGTGGAGGCATTTGTTATAGGATTGATTCAGACTTGTAAATTTGGGTGTAAAGGTTATTACGTTTTCAATTGCAAAATTCGTGATTAATTATGCAGAACAATTATCTAGATAAAGAAGAGAGAGATGAAGTAATGTGCACAATCAATTGTTACGTTTCGATTAATCAATAATAAAAATTCCCATCAGAAATGTAAAAAAAAACACAAGTATTCACAAGCACACAATTGTTTTTTATTTACTCCTTATTTATAGAACAATTCCTCTTCCTTACATCCCATTTTTTCTTGAAATTGAGTGAAGACTGAAAGAAAGGAGTGAAAAATAAAGTATTTTTCAGTGGGGAGTCCCCACTTATTATTTTTGGTTGATATGCGACATGATTTGAAATTTGAGGAAATGTGAAAAATCGCTGAAGGTCGAGTTTGAACCCACGACCCTTAGGTTCCCAGTCTGGGACTAGACACATGGCTATCCACTGGATTAATGGAGTCCCCATATCATAGGCTTTCCCTGCCCAGGAAGTACGACTGATGAGGGTCAAATAAAAAAGAGAGCATCCCCTCAGTACCACAAATCCTTCCTTTATTTACACAAAAATTTCCATTCTCATCATACAACCATAGACAATCAGCATTTTAAAAAAAGCAGTTGAAAATAGCGAGTGGTACAGTAGAACATCAATGAAAACTCCTCTCCAATAAATCACGAGTGAAAGGCGACGTCCAGTCTGATATGTACTCATTACAAGACCCAAAAGAGGAACATCAACAATACAATTGTCCCACATTCCTCGCCAATCTATCACTTATTGTCACTCAGTCGAGGGTAATTCGACTCTACTTCAACATAGGCCATCCTCACCTTCACCCCTATTCTACCAATAATCATTATCTACGATAACTCTCTCCACTGAAAAACAATACACCTAGAATAAGTCTCGTGTGTTCAAAATATACCATTAAACTAAGAAATTCCCAATAGCCTCGAGTAACATCGCTAGATCCATATATTTTTGGTATAAATGTACATATTCTCCCATTAAACTCAACTGAATACTGCGATTTAAATAAACATGACCTTTTATTTATAAAGAAAATTGACATTTACGACGCACTAAAATCAATCATCTCTCACGCTCGATTTTAAAATCCCACTCGAGGCATTAAAACACTGAATGAAGCTGCAACTAGCGGAATATTTGACATCGAAAAGTTCATTTTAGGGAATTCTTGAGGGTCTAAGGGTCAAGCAATGTGAGAAAACTTCTTTCAAGCGCCAAGAACTTGAAAATATTCTTACACACCTGAATTGGACTGAATCGAATCTTCCGCTAGTTTCGTCTTCATAAACACCAATAATCATTCCCCTCGGTTAATCCAGGTGTTAATTCTCCCATTCATCCCAACAAACGACTAGATCACGATGGTTTTTAGTGAATCCACGTGGACCCTTAAATGCTAATAAAACAAGAAGGTAATTGAGAGGCCTCGAGAGTAAAAAAAATGCTGGAATTTGGGGAAAAACTTGATGACGAAAAAAATTTGAAAAATAGTTTGAAAAATTTGTTCATTTTCCAGAAACTCCATGTAACGAACCCCAGTCGATCTGAAGAGCATAAATAATTCTGAGAAATGTTCGAAAATGCGAGATGGTTCACACGTCTGAGCGCCGCCATCTTGATTGCGCTCCAAAAATGGCGGCCCCTCCACCTCGCGTTTTCAAACGTTTATTAAAATTATTTATTCTCTTCAGATAACCCTCAGATCACTCCATCCAGTTTCTACAGAGTGAACAATTTTTCAAAGTCATCGTTCAGATTTTTTCATCCCCTTTCGGCCGAGAATTCATGGCCCAAAGTTTCTTCCGTACTTCAGCAGTTCTTTTTCACTCCCAAGGCCTCTGAATCCGGGGAGGGGAAGAGCTTGTAGACTAAAACTAAACCATTAACGATATATTAATCCTTCGAAAACTACATTAATTATTCAACTCCACAGGATGATCTCTCATCCATTTAATTTCTCTTTTAGGTACATTCTTGCGGTTCCTCACTCTCTCTCTCTCTCATCTACTTGATACCCAGTATAAGTACAACACTCGTCAACAGTTCGATATTCATCCATTATCCGTTACATCAGCTTCAATAGTCTTTAATTCGTCGAGGTTTAAATAATTAGTTTGAAAACACCTAGACAAACGTGTTTTCATCTCACTTTTTTCGTTATTATTTCATTCCCTGAATTTCTGATTTTCGTTTATTTCATTCGTGAATGTGTTCTTCTTTTATTGTTATTGTTTCGTGGGTAGATCAGCCTTAGCTCGAAGGCACATTAGCTTGAGGTGATTTGAATCCTTCATTGGAAAATCAGTGACGGGTTTTTGGGGAATTAACGAGAAGAATTAAAAGACACGTTTAAGGATATGTAGTTCGACCAGCGATTGCTGGAGAGGGGCTTTCCTCAGACACTGCAGCCCGAGGTGACCTTGTCGTTGGCCTGGGGATGGCTCCATCTGCAGGGGTGGAAGGTTTTGGGCTCCTCCGGGTCGGCAGAGTCCGTGCTGGAGGCTTTGAGGCCCTGCTCTAGCTCCAGAAGCTGTCCCATGAAGTTGAGGTTCGGACTGATGATGGGGCGGGCGTTCTTGACTAATTTGTAGGCGTCTACCATGGAGAGACCTTTGTGTCGCATTATGTAGGCAATCGCTATGGTTGCACTACGGGACACACCGGCCTGGCAGTGGACTAGGACGCTACTGCCGGCTTTCCTCGCTTCCTCTGGAAGAAGAAAATTATGAGATTAGTTGACGTCTAGTTTTTTACATTTTCCGGAATTTTTTGGTCTTTATTGTCGACTTTGATTCCCCGGTCTTTCGTCGTTAATGTCGAATTGCTAGCAATTACGTTCTCAAGGATATCCAAGTACTTTGGCCCTTTTTTCTCCAGTGAAATGCTTTTTTTTCTACTTTTGTAGTGGAACATCAGAGCTGTCATTTGAATCCCATTTGACCCCGAGTTTCCGCACATTTTACAATGATCTTATTATTTAAACTTTGCTACTCTGAATGTTAATCTCGATATTAACCCGTTGGAAAACATTTTAGAAATCTGCAAAAAATTAGAAAGTTCACTTTTGGAGAAAGATGGATGAAATAATTGAATAAGTTATATACAATCAATTTTTCACCGTAAAAATCATGTGTTCGGAAACATGAAAAAATCATTCATATTCAGAATTTTACCGGAAATCGATTTAATGCCTAAAAAATAAGGTTTCCGAAAGTTTCTCTTTATTATCGACTTTGATTCCGCGGTTTTTCGTCGTTAATGTCGAATTGCTAGCAATTACGTTCTCAAGGATATCCAAATACTTTGGCCATTTTTTCTCCATTAAAATGCTTTTTTTTCTACTTTTGTAGTGGAAATCAGAGCTTTCATTCGAGTCCCATTTGACACTGAGTTTCCAGACATTTTACAATGATCTTATTATTTAAACTTTGCAACTCTGAATGTTAATCTCGATATTAACCCGTTGAAAAACATTTTAAAAATCTGCAAAAAATTAGAAAGTTCACTTTTGGAGAAAGATGGATGAAATAATTGAATAAGTTATATACAATCAATTTTTCACCGTAAAAATCATGTGTTCGGAAATATAAAAAAATCATTCATATTCAGAATTTTACCGGATATCGACTTTGATTCCGCGTTTTTTCGTCGTTAATGTGGAATTGCTAGCAATTACGTTCTCAAGGATATCCAAATACTTTGGCCATTTTTTCTCCATTAAAATGCTTTTTTTTCTACTTTTGTAGTGGAAATCAGAGCTTTCATTCGAGTCCCATTTGACACTGAGTTTCCAGACATTTTACAATGATCTTATTATTTAAACTTTGCAACTCTGAATGTTAATCTCGATATTAACCCGTTGAAAAACATTTTAAAAATCTGCAAAAAATTAGAAAGTTCACTTTTGGAGAAAGATGGATGAAATAATTGAATAAGTTATATACAATCAATTTTTCACCGTAAAAATCATGTGTTCGGAAATATAAAAAAATCATTCATATTCAGAATTTTACCGGATATCGACTTTGATTCCGCGTTTTTTCGTCGTTAATGTGGAATTGCTAGCAATTATGTTCTCAAGGATATCCAAGTACTTTGGCCCTTTTTTCTCCAGTGAAATGCTTTTTTTTCTACTTTTGTAGTGGAAATCAGAGCTTTCATTCGAGTCCCACTTGACCCCGAGTTTCCGGACATTTTACAATGATCTTATTATTTAAACTTTGCAACTCTGAATGTTAATCTCGATATTAACCCGTTGGAAAACATTTTAAAAATCTGCAAAAAATAAGAAAGTTCACTTTTGGAGAAAGATGGATGAAATAATTGAATAAGTTATATACAATCAATTTTTCACCGTAAAAATCATGTGTTCGGAAACATGAAAAAATCATTCATATTCAGAATTTTACCGGAAATCGATTTAATGCCTAAAAAATAAGGTTTCCGAAAGTTTCTCTTTATTATCGACTTTGATTCCGCGGTTTTTCGTCGTTAATGTCGAATTGCTAGCAATTACGTTCTCAAGGATATCCAAATACTTTGGCCATTTTTTCTCCATTAAAATGCTTTTTTTTCTACTTTTGTAGTGGAAATCAGAGCTTTCATTCGAGTCCCATTTGACACTGAGTTTCCAGACATTTTACAATGATCTTATTATTTAAACTTTGCAACTCTGAATGTTAATCTCGATATTAACCCGTTGAAAAACATTTTAAAAATC